TGCCTACCTCTGCCTCCCAGAGTGTTAGGATTACAGGCATGAGCCACTGTACCTGGCTAGACCTACTTTCTGTTGTCAAAAGAGAAGTGGTATGAAAGATGCCACTCAAGTCTTACCTATGAAAGTTTTGAATAACTACAGCAATAGCTGAACAGTTAGACAATAGGGGAAATTCACTGTTCCCATGCCTTGGAAGACTAAAAATTAACATTTGCACTTTTTTTAGTCTTATAGATTGTTTTAAATAGAATGTTTTCTCCAACATAGAGTGTTAAACAGGGAGGGATCCTTGGAAAACTCATAGTGCTGGGGTAAGAAGAAGTTTAATACCATAAGCTTGAGCACAGGAGAAAGCAAGGGTGCGGTAGCTGGTTCCTTTACGGTTGCTCCCTTCGGTCCCTTCTCCAACTTACCTAAATTTTTTTGCGAGGAAAGGATACTAATTGTCAAATAGGTCACATAGTCATGTTTGGGAAAAGGGAATCAGAAGAATGAATGGTACAATGGTCAACTTCAGGCTACTTTATAATTAATTTTCTTTTTAGAGGCAGTCTTGCTCTGTTGCCCAGGCTGGAGTGCTGTGGCTTTTCACAGGTGCAATCCTAGTGCACTATAGCTTCAAACCTCTGGGCTCAAGTGATCCTCCCACCTTACCACCTTGAGCAGCTGGGACTACAGGTGCATGCCACTATGCTCAGCTTGGGCTACTTTATAATAATTACCTGAGAATGACAATCTGAAATTTCTAAAGTTGTAGGCATTAACATATGAAGACTCCTAGAAGTGATCTAAGAATATACCATCTTAAATCTGCTGCATTTTGCTGCCAATAGAAGGCCTACTTTCTCCTATGGCTGTCTTTAGCTGTCCTAGCAGACATTCATTTTAAGGACTCCGAAGTTTCTAGGCAACAGCTACATCTGAGATTTCTGCAAGTCAGGGACAATATAGTTTGATAGGAGGGAAAATAAGATCAAGGCAGACTGGCATAAGCAGTAGGGATAGAAAGTGCCTTAGAATAGCCCATTTCAATTCTGCTTTGCATCATGCCTGGGGCATAGACAAAGGGCATGGAGTTAGACTATTAAATGTCAGATTTTCCTAAGGGCATTTTGGTGATGAAAGCCAGGGATTTAGATTCAGATACATTTAAGGAACACAAGCCAGCATGGTTCTTTAAAGCTTTCACTGAATATTAATGATGATATTAGAACCAAGTTATTAAAAAGTGAATTGACTCTCTGGAAAATAAAGGCTGCAATAACATTTGATATTCTACACAGTTATCTTTAGATTCTTAAAGACAATGGAAAAAGAGCTTTAATACCCCAATATAATCCTCAGACAATCCTGACTCCTTATTTTAACCAGAAGCCCTAGAAAAATAAGAAGTTTGACCAGACCAATAAGGCTAGTCTTAAGAAATGAAGACTGCTTCAGGATAGGTAGTGAGAATTGGTGATGTTGTGGCATTCACCTAATTATTGATAGATGAATATCATATGTAGGGAGGCTAAGACTATAATGCAGGTTGTTTGATTTGTTAGGCTTGATACTTAAACTTAGTCTAAAGCAGTGGTTCTTAACTTGTGGGTCGCAACCCACAGCAACTGTATTAAAGGGCCATGGCATTAGGAAGGTTGAGAACCACTGGTCTAAAGGATCTTGAGATCTACCTTATTCTTGAAGCAGTGTCTCCTCAGACTCTGAAAGGAAGTGTCACTTGAAGTGGAAAATAATCCTTTGGCAAGGCAAATCAAGGCAAATAGCTGAAGGCTGAGGAGAGGGAAAACACAATACTTTCCAGTCAAGTGATGTGAATCCATTTTCTGTTCAAGCTACTCAATTTCTCTCCTCCCACCGTATGTTCTGTTATTTTTTTCAGCAGCTTGGAAGTTTTTGATGTCATAGTTAAGTCTTGGAGAAGTGGTTCTCAATCTTGGTTGTGCATGAGAATCACTGAATAGTTTTATTTATTGTTTATTTATTTATTTATTTATTTTGTTTTTTTTTTTTGAGACAGAGCCTCAAGCTGTCCCCCTGGGTAGAGTGCCGTGGCATTACAGCTCACAGCAACCTCCAACTCCTGGGCTCAAGCGAGTCTCCTGCCTCCGCCTCCCAAGTAGCTGGGACCACAGGCGCCCGCCACAACGCCCGGCTATTTTTTGGTTGCAGCCGTCATTGTTGTTTGGCGGGTCCGGGCTGGGGATTCGAACCCGCCACCTTAGGTGTACGTGGCTGGCGCCTTAGCCGGTTGAGCTATAGGCGCCGAGCCTTGTTTATTTATTTTGAGACAGAGTCTCACTCTCTTATCCTGCATAAAGTGCCATGGTGTCATAATAGCTCACAGCAACCTCAGTCCCTTGGGCTCAAGTGATCCTCTTGCTTCAGCCTCCTGAGTAGCTGGGACTACAGGTGCCTACCTCAACTCCTGGCTAATTTTTCTATTTTTAGTAGAGATGGTGAGGGGTCTTGCTCAGGCTGGTCTTGAACTCCAACTTGTGAGCTCAAATAATCCACCTGCCTCAGCCTCCCAGAGTGCTAGGATTACAGGCATGAGCCATCATGCCCAGCCTGAGTAGTTTTAAAGTGACAGAGTCTGGGGTCCCATTTCAGAATTATTGGATCAGAATCTTTAAGAATGGGATCTGGCTAACTGTGGCTTAAGGATTCCACAGGTGATTCTGATTTGTAGCCAGGGTTAATAGGCCCTGCTTTGGGAATAAAATACCTTTAGAAGGCCTCCTCCAGTTTACAGGGGGGAATTGCAGCTTCTCTAATGCCACCAGTTGGATGATTAATTCTACTTTTAAACCCAACTTTTTTCTTTATGGGGTGCCAAATAGAAGTCCATAGAAAGTGACATAAGAAGCTCACCTACATGCTCAAAAATCCACATTTTACTTACTGTTGGCATTCCTAATCCACTGTACCAGGTCTCGAGCCAAATGTCTGCATATGCCATATCATTTAAGCACTTCCACAGTTGTATGAGAGATTACCACCATTTTATAGATTAGGAAGCCCACTCAGTGGTAATAGACAGCCTAAAGTTACAAAGTTACTGTTTGGATAGCATGATTAATGTTACTTAATACATTTAAGGTGGTTAAAGTACCTGGTACATAGTAAGCTATTATGTTATCACTTTTTTTTTTTGAAAGAGAGTCTCACTCTGTTGCCCAGGCTAGAGTGCCATGGTATCAACATAGCTCACAGCAACCTCAAACTCTCTGGCTCAAGCAATCCGCCTGCCTCAGCCTCTCGAGTAGCTGGGGCTACAGGTGCCTGCCACCACATCCAGCTTGTTTTTCTCTCTTTAGTAGAGACAGTGTCTTGCTCTTGCTCAGGCTAATCAGGAACTCCTGAGTTCAAGGGATCCTCCCACCTCAGCTTCCCAGAGTGCTAGGATTATAGGCAAGAGCCACCGCACCTGGCCCTATTTTCTATTTTGGTCTTAACAATTCAACAAACCCAGCATACCTACTGAGTAGCTACTGTGTCCAGGATGAGTTGTCTAGATCAGTGTTTGTCTATATTCTTCCTTTGGAACATTTCCACCAAAACGTCTCAGGATGCTTATAAACGCAAACTTCTAGGCCTTGGCTTCTTAAGCACCTTTAAATACCATTGTATCAGCACAGGGGTTCTCAAACTTGAGTGTACATTGGAATCACCTGGAGGGCTTGTTGCTTTCTTTCTTTTTTTTTTTTTTTTTTTGAGACAGAGCCTCAAGCTGTCGCCTTGGGCATCACAGCTCACAGCAACCTCCAACTCCTGAGCTCAAGCGAGTTGCCTGCTTCCACCTCCCAAGTAGCTGGGACTATAGGTGGCCGCCACAATGCCCGGCTATTTTTTGGTTGCAGTCATCATTGTTGTTTGGCGGGCCTGGGCTGGATGCGAACCCGCCAGCTCAGGTGTATGTGGCTGGCGCCTTAGCCGCTTGAGCCACAGGTGCCGAGCCTGGTGGGCTTGTTAAACAAAAGTGTTCTGGAACCCACCCAGAGTCTTGGATTCGGTGATCTGGGGTGGGTCCTGAGAATTTGCATCTCTAATGAGTTTTCAGCTGCTGCTGCTGCTGTATCACACTTTCAGAATCAGTAAGCTAGAGCCATGTGAGGGATAGGAAAAAATATTACATACAATTCCTCTCATTAAGGAGTGCTTGACATAGTTGGGAGAGATAACACATACTCTTAATATATCAGAAATATAATGTATATGTTTGACGAGATACAGTATAGTACAATATAATACATTGGATGGGATTGTTAGGAGGAGATGAGATTTGATCTGGGTCCTAAAAGATGATGAGGTCTCAGGTTCAGTAGAGAATAACATAAGCATTCTTTTTTTTTTTTTTTTTTTTGGAGACAGAGCCTCAAGCTGTCCCCCTGGGTAGAGTGCCATGGCATCACAGCTCACAGCAACCTCCAACTTCTGGGCTCAAGTGAGTCTCCTGCCTCAGCCTCCCAAGTAGCTGGGACCACAGGTGCCTGCCACAACACCCAACTATTTTTTGGTTGCAGCTGTCATTGTTGTTTTGGCGGGCCTGGACTGGATTCAAACCCACCACCTTAGGTGTATGTGGCTGGTGCCTTAGCCACTTGAGCCACAGGTGCCGAGCCAACATAGGCATTCTTGATGGCAATAAAAAGAGGGAAAGTATAGAGGTGTGTGTGGGTGGAGTGGTAGATACTTGTTTGCCTGGCAGGGAGCTTTGTATAGGACATTTGTGGAGGCATGAGACCAAAAAGGTTAGTGCTAATCTGTGAAGAGCCCTGAAAGCCTCTCCCTCTCCCCAGCCTCCACCCTGTCACAGCTGAACCAAAAGTGCTTTGGGGCCCAAAAGAGGAAGTCTCCCCTGCTGAGTATGCAAGAGGAACCACAAGAAGGCTCTGGGGCTTGTAAGCCTTCATGACTGATTTCACCCACAAGCCAATGGCAGAGGCAACGGAAGACCCATGCACCAACCAGGCTGGGTCCGTCCGCCCAGAGGGTGTCACCCTGCAAGTTGAAAGTGTTTGGGCAGGTCAGGCAGGCATTGCTGTCTGGATGCTCCTCTCTCTCAGTGGCCATCATGTCTTTGACATCTGCTTACCAGCATAAATTAGCAGAGAAGCTCACTATCCTGAATGACCGAGGTCAGGGGGTTCTCATCCGTATGTATAACATCAAGAAGGTAAGTGTGAGCAATGGGGGCTGGTATGAGTCATCCCAGCAGTAGTAGGGCAGGGCACCCCTAGGCAGGTAGCTCCAGCAGTTGGACCCTGTCTTCTTTTCCACTCCTTACCGGTCTTCAGTCAGTCACTGCGGTTGTATAGGCCAGCCAGTTCTGGGAGGCAAGAGGGAAGGCTCCTTTTCAGGGCTTCCCCTTTCTCGGTCTGATTCTCTCCCTAAGGACGGCACTGCTTTCCCCTGGGCATAGGGATGGGGTAGGAGTGTCGGGGGAATAATTGTGTTGTGAGTGATTTGGATAAAGGTCTGGTGTCTAGAATCCTGGGTTTTATTTATGGCTGATCTTGCATACTCTGAAGCGATCTGAAGTGGAGTCTCTGGCAAAAACTTCCATAGAAGTACTTCTCTAAAAGGAAAAAACCCCAAAAAACAAACGTAGATATTTAGATAAACAAAGGGTAGGTGTCTTCTGAGGGACTGAGTGCGGGGGAATTTATGCTGTGATTGTACCTGTGGGTTGGGAGAAGCTGGTGGCAGGAGGTAGGCTAGGGCCTGCCGAGCCATAGGAGGTAAAGAGGTACAGGCAGGGTATTTTCCTGGGAGAGAAAGCAGCGGACTTGGGGAGGGAACTTCTGTGCATTTTGTAATAAATCACCAAGAACATGGTTTCCCTGTCTCCACGAATCCTATAAATGTTCTTTGGGTTAAGATGTGTATGTAACGGACAAAACCGTGACCCGGAGTCTCTTACAAAGTCTGTGTCTGAGCAGTTGCTTTTCTCGCCCCTTCCGGCCGCTGCTGAGGGGCGGGCGGAGAAACAGCTTCCTCTTTGTGCTGGGGCCAAGCAGACGTTATGTTTTACCCAGAGAGAAGTGCCCAGGTTGTTATTTAGCTCTTAGATAGTTGCCTCCGTGTCCTGGAATTTGTTCCTGACCCACTCTCATGCTTTTATTAGTCAATTCCCAGATTGCCTTTTCCTTAAGAGAACTTGTGAGGATACAGGAAGAGGCACGCTTTTGAGGGGCAGGGGGAACAGTTGAAACAGAGTATGGTTTATCCACACAGACTTGTGCAGACCCCAAATCCAAGCCACCTTTTTTACTGGAAAAATCCATGGAGTCATCTGTGAAGTACATCAACAAGAAATTTCCCAACATAGACGTCCGGAACAGCACGGTGAGAACTTGATCCCTCTTCTTGCCTGTCTCTAGAATAACTCTCTGCTTTATGGCTGAGATTCTTTTCTTTTGACTGTCTCCCTTCAAACTTGGCAGGGGATGGACGGAGTAACCTTCTTTTTCCTAGGCTCCACCATAGGCTTCAGGTTGTTGTAGAATTTGGAGGTAAGATGGGATTCTTTCAGGGTAAGCTGGAGCAAAGCATTGCCCATTGCTCCACTGCAAGATTCATCTCAAAGCTCTATCAACCCAGGAGGATGCATGTATTTTATTGTTGTCCCTGGTGTCCACTCAGTGTTTCCTTGCTAATTGTCTTAGAACTAGGCATCTAGTGGGATATTACTTCTCTCTTATTAAACATTAGCCCTAGATTTCTCGCCCATGTTACCTATAGCATCTTCTCATTCTGCTTCTTTTGACTTTGATATGAATGTAAACTTCTTCAACTGAGTCTTTGAAATTTCCTCTCACTCAGGCCTCTGTATCTAGTTAGGACCATGCAGAACCATCCTGCCTAGAAAGAAAATCTCCTCTGTTTAAAGATTCGCAGTGGGGGTGGAGGGTTTTCAGCCTCTTCCGTCAGTGTATTTCAACCCTCTTTTTAAAGAATATTTTACAGGGTGGCACCTATGGCCCAAAGAAGTAGGGTGCCAGCCCCATATACTGGATATGGCGGGTTCAAACCCAGCCCCGGCCAAAAAG